ATTTCCTTGATAAATCACTTCCACACACCTCGACATACCTAGGCCTTCTGGTCTTGTATATCTCTCTTTAGCCTTCTAACAAGACAAACATACAAAATCCTTTCATATCAAAACTGTATCTCTTCTTCTATTTTTTTTTTTTTTGTTGTTGTTGTTGTTGTTGTTCTGGGGATCGAACTTGGGCTTGTGAAGCAGGTGGCAGAACCACTGAGCTAAAACCCTGGCTCAAAAGTGTATTTCTTCTACTTAGAGCTTTCTTAATATTTTTCTTCCATCTCACTTAACTACACACCTTCTATAACAAACCTGTCTTCAGCTGTTAAAACTTTAAAGCGTCCCCTTTTTTTCTTCTGTTCTCAGATTGTTACATTTTAAAACTTGACTGCCAATAGGACAGTAGTAGTCTTGAGTTTTTCATCAACAAAGTACCAAAAAGAGCAAGTTCACCCTATGATCATAATTCAAGAATTTGCAATGCACAGGAAATTTTATTAAGCACACCAACTAAACACCAACTCAAGTTGAAACAAAGATACATTTATCAATTAGCTAAAATTTGTAACTTCATTTTTCTTGTAAAATCTCTTGATGTCCGGTAGAGCAATTGCAGTTTCTCCGGCTTTGTTTTGGATTCCCTACCTTGTCAGGCAGCATCAAGCTGATAACACAACACTGGCCTTTCGGCTCTTTTTGTTTGTTTGTTTGTTTTTTGAGACAGGGTCTCACTATATATTTGAGACTGACCTGGAACTCACTATGTAGTCCAGGCTGGTCTCGAACTCGGCGATCCTCCTGCCTCAGGCTCCCCAGTGCTGGGATTACAGGCATGAGCCACCACGCCGGTCTGGCCTTTCGGCTCTTAAAGCCAAGAGTGTTTTTTCTCTCTGTTTTGCTGTATGCTTTTCAGAGCTTTCCCGGCTGCTTTCAGCCCATTACTTATTTTCTCGTTTTAGGTCTCTCCAAGCCGAGTGCAAGTCCTGCTCCACGCTCTCTGTGTGACCACGGCCCTTCCCAGTGCGCTGAAGCCGGGCGGTTCTCCTCGTGCTTTTCCCCCGACCTCCTGCGCCCCTGTGGTCTTGGCAACTCAAGCAGAGGGGGAGGCGGGTCGACCTCCTCCAGAGGGGAAGCCCTGGGGTTTGCCTGTAACCGCATCACATTTTCCAAGAGTCCACCTTGTGAAAGACAGCAGATGTGGCAAGCAGTTGTTCTGAGACCGAAACTAACTAAACGGATTGTCATGGAGCGGAAGTTTGAGCGGCTCCCAAGCCCGGTCGTTCAGCCCTCAGAGCAGAGCACACAGGCTTCAAGTTGTCAAGGTCTCAGTTAAAGTCCCAAGGGGGCTGGGGGTTTAGCTCGGTGGTTCTCCCACCTGCCTTGCAAGCACAAGGTTCCGAGTTCGATCCCTGGTACCAAAGGGCTGGGGATTTAGCTCAGGGGTTCTAGAACCTGCCTTGCTAGAGCGAGGTCCTGAGTTTGATCCCTGGTACCAAAAAGTTGTTTAAAAAGTCCCAAGGGAGATAACTTTTCTGCTTTGTTGAGCCGTCTGGATTTGACCCCCTCTCCGAGTTCCATATCGAAAGTTCTTGTTTGTGAAAAACGATGATTATGTTTCTTTTGCAGCCTTTATTCCAACACCGCAGGCCAGCTTGGGCCGAAATTGCTTACCCTGTGCTTTAGCCCCAGCGGGCTCCTCCTCCTCCCTGCCCCCTCTGAAGTATCTGCCTGCCTCTTTTTTTCCCCCTGGACTTTGTGCTTGGCCTTGGCCTTGATGCGAGGTGCGCTGCTTGTCGATTCTTTTCTTTCTTTTTCTCTTTTGCTTTTTATCCTGAGTTCCTCACTGAGCAGGAGATAGCTTGTGCTTCAAGCCCCCACGATGGACGCAGATTGACCTGAAGGTTTTCGTGGTGGGAACGGAATGCGGGTGCGAGTTACTCTGACCTCAGCACTTAGGCTTCGGCCGGACGCACTTCCGTAAAAGAGCCGTTTGTGGGTTCAGATCGTCGATGTCACAGCCCTCTGCACGTGGGTGCACACATATCCCTGTGGTGTGATTCTTTTAATTCTTTGGGGAAGACACCCAGCAGAGGCCCGCTGGGTCAAATGGGGCCTCCAGTCCTAGTGTTCTGAGGTCTCTCCATGCTGATTTCCACGGCAGTTGCGCCAGTCTGCTCTCCCACCAACAATGGAGAAGGGTTCCTTTCTCTCCACGACCCCCGCCAGCACTTGTTATTGGTTAATTTCTTGATAACAGCCACTCTGGAGATGGAATCTCAGCGTTGTTTTAATTTGCATTTCTTAAATGACCAGTAATGGTCAAATTTTTTCACCTACATATTTGCCATTAGCACTTCTTCATCTGAGAAGTTTCTATTCATTTCAGATGCCAGTTTTCAGATTGGGTCTTTAAAACTTTCTTTCTTTTTTTTTTTTGTACTGGGGATTGAACTCAGGTCTTTGCTCTTGCAAGGCAGGTGGTAGAGCTGAGCTAAATCCCTGGCCCCTGGGTCTTTAAACTTGGGGGCTTTGATTTTTTTTTTTTTTTAGTTATTTATATATTCTACATATTAATCCTTTGAGGAATAGGTGGTTAAAAAAAAGTTTTTTCCCCCATTCTATGGGTTATCTCTTCACTTAGTTTCACTCGGTGGTTTCTCTCTTACCTCCTCACTTCTGAAAGATACTTTTGCTGTGTGCAAAATTTTGTTTGTTTCTTTGTTATTTGAGACAGGGCCTCAACTATGTAGTTGAGACTGACCTGGAACTCACTATGTAACTCAGGCTGGTCTCGAACTCACAGCGATCCTTCTGCCTCAACCTCCCGAGGGCAGGGATTACAGGAGTGCGCCACCACGCCCGGCTGTGTGCAAAATTTTGAATTTCAAGGCTTTTCGCTTTGTTTTAAAGGATGTCAGCCCATTGCTTTCTGTCTTTTTCCCCCCTTCTTCTGAGTAAAGCAGAATGTAAAAGAAACTCGGTTCTCCTAGCTGAAAGCAGTGTAGCATCTCCCAGCTTGGGTTCCGTCCCCCTCCCTTTCTTGTAACTACTGACCTTCCTCTGGCACTGATAAGGTAGACACTCACATTCCTGTAAAGGAAGTTTTGTAACCCCGAGGATGTCCTATAAACAAAGTTCATAACACTCTGTTCTTATATGATTCATAACACTGTCTTCTTACAAAGCTAAGCTACGGAACTGTTTGTCTTTGTTCGATTCCTGTAAACTCGCCGCGTTACTAGAAAGACCACTCCCCTGCGACTGAACATGAAAACTGGAACTGTCTTTTGTTCAGTGGCTCAGCACTTTGGACTCGAACGTGGCTGGGTCAGGTGTACACCTAATAAAACCCTCCTGGTTCCCATTTGGTCTCTCTTGGCCTTTCGGAATTCTGCAACGTGAGGCGTTTGCCGTAACTTCGTGTATTTGTTCTTCTATGTGTAATGTGTCTTTTTTTCCTCTGGCCACTTTGAGGAGTTTCTCTTTACCCCTGATTTGTAGCAGCCTGAGTAAAATGTGTTTGTTTTAGTCTTTATCCTGCTTGGAAGTCCTGAGGCTGGTGTTTGATAAAGTTTCAATGATCACCTCTTCAAACTTTTCACTGGTTCTTTCCCTCTTCTTCCAAGATCTTGATGTGGGTCAGTTACCGGTCTAGGAAAGCATCCGCACCCGTTTGTATTCCAGGTAGTTTCAAGGTCTTCAAGAAACAGTGTAGCGACATCTCCTGGCCTTTTCCTCCCGAAGATACCTTTCCAGAGTTCCGCGAAGAACCTGTGCATGAAGGCTCTGATGTGTACTGTGAAACTGCCCTCCGTCAGTTGGCCGGTTTGTTTTCTCTGGGCTTGTCTACGACGTTTTCCATACACTCACAACAGTCCTGAATACTATAATTTTTTTTAAAATTCCCAATTAGATAGAGGTTTATTGCTTTTCTACTGGCACTGTCCCGACACCTGAGTTCTCAAGTGCGCCTTAGTGGGCTAATAAAAGGAGAGAAAGGAGACCCAGCAAGAATGGGAATGAAACCAAGCAGGGGAAAAAGGAAACGGGAGGTATCCTAAATGTGTTCCGAGAGCTTCCCTGGAAGAACACTGGGCTCTGGCCTCGCCCATACCTGGTATCAGGATCTGGGCAGAATGTGGGGAGAGACAGATTTGGGGACTGTGCAGGGGCGCCAGTCTGGCCCCCCACCTTGTCCTAGGCTGGACCCTTGGGGGGAGGACGGGAGCCAGGTGGGGAGCAGACTAAGGCCCCCAGCGCCCCAGAGACATGGGCTCCGCTCTTGCCGGACTTTCTGGCCGAAGCAGGGTCCTGAGTTCGAAGAAGAAAAAAAAAAAGCATTAGAGACGGAAGTTTAGAAGGAGAAGCAGAATCACTTTATGGGAAAAGGGAGAGAACTACGGAGCTGGACAGCTACCTTTTCAGAGTAAGGTGGGGAGGCCGGAGCTGCACTGGGTCTGGTCCTTACTTAGCCTTTTATTATGGGTTGAGAAAGGGCCTACTCCCTTTGAGGGTCGCTGTACCTTGATTGCTATTCTGGGCTCTGCGACCCCGGCTTGGCCATGCTTTCCCACTGCCCACACCCACTGTCTCCGATGAGCCCTCCTTGTTTTGTCCAGGTGACATTTGTGAGGTTTGTAGCAGAGCTTTGCCTTGGAGGCAAAAAAGGATACATGGGTATTGTAGCATATTAATATGGTGAGAGAATGGTAATGCATGGGTGTATTTATATATTGGTGCGAGTATGTGTTTTATGTACTGAGTTTTTCAGATAATATAGCCCCTCCCACTTCGTCTCCTTCTGCTTAACTGGAGAGGGTTAGGAGGGGATTGGGGCCCTGGCCCTCAGCCTTCTGCTTTTCTCTGTCTCTGTCTCTCCCTCTCTCTCTAGGACGGGTTTCACTCTTTATTTGCCAGAAACCTCATAAGGTCCTCACCTCTCCCCGCCTGACCCCTGCTTTCCCTACAGGCGCAGGTGGCTTCTTTGCCTTTCTTTCTGCCTTTGCCTTAATTTCTGTGTCATCTTTTCCCTTCTTTGGTCCCACCGGTCCTCTACTCGGAGAGGAAAGCTGAGGAACCACGAAGAAGTTTATGAAAACAAGGTAAATGTTAAGATGTAGTGGACGCCTTGGAGCCCAGCCTCAGCAGTACACCCGGCTCGGTGCCCCGTCCTCAGGGTGTGGTGGGGAGAGACTTCTGACTGTGAAGAGAGCTCTGCTTGTCCTCTTCTCCCTGGCAGAAACTGAGGTCCACAGAGCCGGGGTCTTGGTCTGTTTAATTCACTGCTATCCACAGAGCACTAAGAAAAGCGTTTCGTTTTTCACTGAAGGAGTGACTCCTTACTACTTTGAAATTCTTTTGTTCCCTTAATAGAAATTACCTGGTAACATTCCCGGCCCAGCTGAACTTCCCCTCCACTCAGGAGGTTTGTTTGGATCTGAGAGCTGGCAGCTGGCAGAAATTCACGGTTACTATGGAGACCAAAGACAAGACCCAGAACTTGCTAGAACTTTCTGGATTGAAAAAGGCCGGCTTACAGTGCATCTCCCTTGTAGTAAGTACAGATGCAGCAATCTCTGACTTTCTGCCTGCACCCTGGCTGCTGACCATAACTGTAAGTATGACTTCTGCTTACTTTTGCCGTGGCCCTCAGCCTGTCACCCCTAAACTCAGCTTCAGCTCCTGACCATAAGTCAGAAGTTCCAGATCTTAACCTCTGGTTAGTTTATTTCCCTTCTCCCCAGTATCTTGTCTTACGGCACTGCCTTTGCTGACCCATCCAACGCAGCTCTTTTCACTGTTCTCTGCGCTGGGTTGGGACAGCGGACTCTGTCCGCGCTGCCTTCTCCCCAGGACGCCCTTCCCTCTCTTGCCCAGGCCCCCTCCTGTCAGCCACATGGAAGTGGCCGTGGTCTGGGTTTCAGAGTTGGAAAAAAGCCTCTGCTTTGAGCAGAAAAAGGTTTTCATTCAGAGGCAAGGGAGTGGCATGTTTATACAGATGGCCAAAGGTGTCTGACTCCCAGGGGTACGGAGCTCATGGTCAGAGCTGGACAAAGATGGGAAACAGCTCCAGTAGGAGCTCCAAGGAGAAACTGTGGTGTGGCCTGTTGGTGCTTCTCCTCCCAGCACTTTGAGAGGCTGAGGCAGGAGGATTGCAAATTCAAGTCCCGTCTAGGCAAGTTAGCAATTTAGGGAGACCCTGCCTTGAAATAATAATGATAATAATAATAATAATAATAATAATAATAATAATAATAATAAAGTCTGGGAATGTAGCTCAGTGAGAAGGTCCTGGGTTCAGTCATGGGGAGAGCAGTGTTGGGCTTTACCTCTCACACTGCTTTTTGTTTTAAAAGCAGCAAAACATAGGCCAGGGATTTAGCTCAGTGATTCCACCGCCTGCCTCACAAGCACAAGGACCAGAGTTCGATCCCTGGTACAAAAAAAATAAAAAAAAAAAAATTAAAAAGCAGCAAAACACAATGACTCTGAAGGATGTGAGGAAGCCAAAGGGTGGAGGGGAGGTGCTGGGAGAGGAGAATCTTCTTTGTCAGTGACACCTGCTCCTTTCCAGTGTGTCCCTCACCAGTGAGTACAGCACCTTTGTTCCCGTGCATGCCCAGGTGAGACTCTGGCTGAGAGCAGGGAGAGGGGAGTAGGTTAGCGGCAGAATGAGGGGAGGTGAGATTGCTGTGGGATCAGCTCCTCAGGGCCTGGGTGGCGGAGCTCATGGGAGGGAGGCCTGAGCTGTGCTGCCAGCCGAGTCCTTGGTCCTCCAGGACCTGGCCCAGGCAGCCAGTTCTCAGCTTGTGCTGTTGCCTCAGCCCGGGGAACAGTCCTGGGAAATGGCTACATTTGCTTTCATTTTAGAAGCCTTTTTGCAAACATTGGGGCTTTCATCCAGGAGTGATGCCAAGCAGCCTTGCAGTTCAAATATGAAGAAAGAAAGGCTGGGGTAGTAGTTTGTGGTAGAGTAGTGGAGCTTGTACTTAGCCCTGGGTTCAAGCCCATTCCCAGCGGCACCAAAATAAAACAATAAAATAGAACAAAATGGTGAGTTAGGGTCGATTTAACAAAAGAAAACAATGAGTGTAGCCACTTCTATTTCTTTTTTTATCTTTTAATAGATAGATAATGCTCTGAAGGCAACATTAAATGTATAGGCGTGAAAGGTCACAATGTGGTAACTTTTAGCACGGGAACAGCAGTCCAAGCCTGACAGTCCTACATCTTGTGATAGGTTTTACTTTGACTCGGGCTGGGGTTGTCTGTGTGGCTTCTGCCATGCTTAGGTCTGGGACGGGCCTGCAGGGTTCTTCCCCTCAGTCCCAGCCCACCCTGAGCCAGGGATTCCGGACACAAACGTCCGGGCTGGCTGCATCTCCCTGCTCTTGGCTTCTTACTGACTGGTCGTCTGCTCCACTGCTTTCTTTCCCAATTTAGATTTTTTTTTTTTTTTTAGTTCTTCCTTCCTGTTAACTATACCCTTTCTCTTGCGAGACAGGCCCAGGGCTGAGTATTTCCTGACAGATTGAAGTTTCTAGAACTGCCCAGAAGTGTCAGGCAGCGCTTAGGCTCTACTGCCCCCTGGAGGTTCAGGTCATTACCGACCCTTTTGTTCCGTCCTCTCTGCTCAGGGACAGTGGATTATTTGAGCTGTGATTTTTGTAATTAAGACCCTGCTTCTCTTGTAAAATTACCCCGCCCCCATTTTAGTTGAAATACTGAGATTAACAAAAGGGATTTCCCCAAGGAACTGAGTAACAAATATTATGAGTCAATAGGGCCAGGGATTTAGCTCAGTGGATCCACTTCCTGCCTCCCAAGCACAGGGTCCTAAATTCGATCCCCGCTACCACACACCACACACACACACACACACACACACACACACACACACACACACACACACACACAAGAAAGAAGAAAAGAGACAGCAGCCCTTTCAGCCCGTCCTCGCCTTCCCCTGCCAGAGCTATTCGCTTGCTCAGTGGCTGCTCTGTAAGGCAGCTAACAGGAGTTATTGCTTCATCTCTGGGACAAAATGCCCGGCACCCACCACGTAAGGGAGGAGGCACATACAACGCTCCCCTAATCCAGTCACCTTCCCAGTGTCCCGCCTAGGACCGCATGCGGCCTTGGACACCTGTAGAAGAAACCCTCACTGTGCAGGGTACACCGCCTGCACCTTTCCGGCCGTTGCCCTCCGGCGTCCCTCTCCGTGTCCCCTCAGGCCTCAACCTCTGTCCCCGGAAACCTCCCTTCATCCCTGTGACTTCTCCAGCACGGCAGTTTAACCAGCGTAACTAACGGGGCTCAGGTGAGAGCACCTGTGAGAAGCTCTCAGAGGAATGGGGCGAGGGCGGATTCCTCGCTGGGCCCCTCTGATCTGCGCAGTTACCTCTGCAGCATCAGTGCCCTCGAACTCCTGACGAACCACTCCTGGTTAGTGAGGTCTCCCGAGCACCTCCGGAGCTAAGGATAACACCTACAGTAACTCAGTCTCGGAAGCTGAACTCCAAGGGCCTCTCTTCCCTCCCAAATGGGATTGGAGCTCCTGAAACCCGTCTCTGATTGGTAATGAGGCAAATCATAAATCACACAGGAGCTGTTCTCCCTGTGCGGACCACAGGGGCTGTGACAGTGGCAGGAGCCCTCCCTGGCCTCTTCTTGCTGCTTCGCCTGCAGGGCAGGAAACTGGGAGAAGGCGGAGGTGGGGCGGGAGGCCCATATCAGAAGGCCCGGCAGGTTGGAGTGGCTACCACTTTGCTACAGCCCCAGCCCTTTAAAAATTCTTACTTTCCAGAGACAAAAAAATGGAAACAAAGCTTTTGCACAGAGGGAGGGGAAGGGCTGGAGGGAGGGAACGGGATAAAATAAAATAAAATTTATTTCTAAAATTCCTATTTTCAGACAGGGCCTCCCTGAATTACCTAGGTTGGGGTTAGGGCCCCACCCCTTATAACCTTGTTTGAGGATCTCTTTAAAGACTCAGTTTCCAAAAGTCATATTGGGGGCTAGGACTCCAACTCGTAAGATCTGGGGAAAATACAATCTAGCTTGTAATGCCTTCCTAAGAGATTTGGATTGACCAGTGGGACTATTAATTTTGTTTACCAGGAAGTGAACATAATGGAAAATGTGGACATATAGATATGTTTGTTTTTGGTGGCACTTGGGGCAGAACCCAGGACCTCACATGTTCAGCAAGTTCTCTACACCTGCGTTTGCAGCCCCTTGTAAGATTTTGACAGTCAGAATTTTAACATCATCCCTTCCCCATGTTTCTGTCTACTTTCAACCTAGAATTTTATCATTGCCTAATATATTTTTATGCTTAATTTTTTTTTTCTTTTTGAGACAAGGTATTGCTATGTAGTTCAGGCTGGACATGAACTCACTATGTAGCCCAGTCTGGCCTTGAACTCATGGTGATCCTCCTGCCTCAGCCTCCCTAGTGCTGGGACTACGGGTGCGTGCCACTACATCTGCCCTGGTTAAAAATTTCATTGCTCACATTATTAAACTTTTTCTCACAAAATGACACACAATTTTATAAGGCTTAAGTTTATTGAGACAGCTTATGGATTGAATTACTCTTTCTAATTATGGATGAATGCAATGAATCAAAACAGCACAAAGTTTTAAAATAAGTTAATAACAATTACATATTTTAATAAATAAATATTAGGCATAAAAAGTAGAACAACTGGAGAACGTCAGCTAATGAGGTGGATGTTGGTGGTATTTTTCAATCAGTGCACATATCCAAGGGTGATGATTGTTTTCTTCTAGAATGAGATGGGGGCCGGGAATGGTGGCATACACCTGCACTCCCGGCACCCCGGAGGCTGAGGCAGGAGGATCACTGGGAGTTTGAGGCCAGCCTGGGCTACATAGCAAGACGCTGTCTCAAAAAAAAAAAAAAAAAAAAAAAAAGAAAAAAGAAAGGGCGAAATGGCATGCTCAGAAAACTAAAGTATAGATCAGCAAATTGTTCTCATTAAAGGCCAGATGTAAACATTTCATGCTTTGGGGGTAAAAAAAAAAAAAAAAAAAAAAAAAGAGTAGAATGAAATAGGGATCAGGACAAATTTCAAGACAGGGACAACCATGGTGGAAGAGCAGCGAGACGGAGCGCGGAGACGACACAAGGAAACATGGGACACACTGATTCAACAGCCCTGCCCTGAGGCCCTGAGCCAACCAGAGAAGCAGAAAGTTTGTGAGAAATGAGAAATGTTACCAAGGAAACCTTAAGCCCTCTAGCTCTCCTTGCTCTTGGTCGATTTTGGGGTCCACACAGCTGGCCATGCCTCAGTTCCCCCAGTGTGGTGGCAGGTGGCGCCTCTGGCCTGTGGGGTGCAGGAACACCCCCGGGGAGCGAATCCTCCTCCCCTGGGCCGAGTCCCCGGAGGTCCCGGCCCTCCTGTTGTGTCTGCGTCTGCCGGCCTTATCCACGTCGATCACTCAGAGATGTTTTGTGCCGGACCGGGACAGAGGGTCAGCGTGGCCGGTCACCCAGGGAACCGGGACCCTTTCTCTCCTGTCCTCGTTTTTACTAGCATCTCAGCCCTAGGGTCCTTCAGCCCTATCTCAGGGCTGGGGCAGGAGAGGGTGCTGACATAGACCAACGCCAAGCACCTCGGAGCCCCTGAGGGCAAGGCCAGAACCGAGTAGGATGCTGGGCCAGGCAGAAGGAAACTCAGCAGCCTGCAGGATGAGGTGACCAGGACCACCGATGGCCCCAGTCTGTCAAGGGAAGAAGCATCTTTTGGTTGTTGTTGGTGTGTGTGTGTGTGTGTGTGTGTGTGTGTGTGTGTGTACATAGTCTGGATTGACCTTGAATTCACTATGTAGCCAGGCTGGCCTTAAACTGACAGAGATCCTCCTGCCTCAGCTTCCCTTGTGCTGGGACCACAGGTGTGCCCCACAATGCCCCAATATTTTGAAATGGTGCCCTCAAAAATGAAAATTCCTGGATGTCCGCCCATCCCGGCAAATCACCCCAGACTATGTTCTCGGTTCTGTGAGCACAGCTTGGTCCTCTGTGGACCAGCTGCTCCCTTCAGCCGGAGCCCAGACTGGCCAAAGGTGCCCCATCCTTTAGATAAGATTTTTTTTTTAAACTGGGACTTGAACCCAAGACCTTGCACTTGCTCAGCAGGCAGCAGAACAGCTGAACTAAATCCCTTGCCCTGTCTTAGATAAGTTTAAAAGATTGCTGTACTTAAATATTTCTCCATGGGCTGAAGTATGTTTACTCTATTTGGCCAGTCTCATTTCTTTTTTATTTTTTTTCTCTCTCTCTCATTGAGTTTATTGGTACATTTTAGGTACACAGTACAGTTACATTCATCATTGGGATCTTGTACCTTTACATGACAGGTCTTGGGTCTCATTTTTTCCCCTTGTCCCTGCCCTCCCTTCACCCCTCCCCCCCTAGCTCTTTACAAACACTTCATTTCCATTTTTTCATTTTCTCATATTTTTTACTTTTCCCTTATTACCTTTCCCCTACCCTTCCCATTTTCCCTACTCCTTTAGCACCTTTCTTCCTATTTCACACTGTCCATTATATCATTAGGATCGTATGTACTATTATAGTTCATTCACACCAGAGAAACTATTTGGTATTTACACATGTGTGACTTATTTATTTCAGTTAGGAGTATATCCTCAGTATGTATCCATTTTCCTATGAATGACTCTAATTTCTCATTCTTTATGGCTGAGTAGCACTCCATTTAATAGAAAAACCACATCTTCTTTATCCAGTTTCCAACTGATGGGCAAATGGGCTGTTTCCAAGTTTTAGTTATTAAAAACTGTGCTGCTATAAACATAGGTGTGCATATATCACTGTGATATGATTCTTTTAGTTCTCTTGGAAAGATACCCAGCAGAGGGATGGCTGGGTCAAATGGAACCTCCACTCCAAGCTCTTTGAGGTATCTCCATATTGATTTCCATAGTGGTTGCACCGGTCTGCCCTCCCACCAACAGTGGAGAAGGGTTCCTTTCTCCCCGCAACTGTGCCAACATTTGTTATTGTGTGATTTCTTGATAGCAGCCATTCTTTGTGGGGTGAGGAGGAATCTCAGTGTTGTTTTCATCTGCATCTCTCGAAAGACCGGTGATGTGGAGCATTTTTTCATTTATTTACTTGCTGCTTTTACTTCTTGGTCTGAGAAATGTCTGTTCATTTCAGATGCCCATTTTTGAATTGAGGCCAGTCTCATTTCTAACTGTCAAAGATGCTGTCGTCCAGTATCAGGGTTGTATCTGTCTTTGATTTCTAGCAGTGCATCCTTTTAAAACTGTTAAATGTTGAGGAGTCTGTGTTTGCAGTGGGTGATGATCACACCCACCCTGGGACTGGGCCATGGACTGGACGGCCTGGTTCTTCTTCCACTTCGTTGCTCCTCCTTCCCCACCCCACCACGTTTGGCCCCCTTCCTGTTTGCAAAAGATCACTGCGCCCCCTGCTTCTGAAATGACCTGCGCTATGGTTTTTCAAATAAGGGAAGGCACACGATGCCCAAGCTTGAGGGTCTGGTTTCTGTCACTTCGCATTACGGCCTCCGTGGTCTTGGGGAACTCTCGTCCAAGCCAGCAGGACGAGTTGGCATTTGCCACGAGGTTTCCTGGACTCTTTCAGGCTGGTAGTGCTCTTTCATCAGAAATTATCCTTATGGGGCCTGGGCTGCAGCTCAGTGGTTCCGTCACCTGCTGAGCCAGGTCCCAAGTTCGATCCCAGTACACACAAAAACGTCTTAATGACCTATGAGTGCTCAACTCATTAGATCCTCCTTCAATGAGTTGAAAAAATTCTGATGCTTGACTTGCAAAAGAATTTTGGACTAAAAGAATTTACCTACACAAAGCAACACTACCCTACCACTCATTGTTTTTGGTAGCCAAGAGGTTATGTTTCTTTATGTTTTGTGCTTCTTTCACCCCAGAAATATTCCATGAAATGCGGGAGTTACACCACACACACACACACACACACACACACACACACACACACACACTCTATTTCTTTTTATTTTTTGGTACCGGGAATCGACCTCAGGACCTTGCGCTTGCCAGGCAGGCGTGGAGCCCCCGAGCTACACACCCGCGCCTTGTTACACGTTTTATACAGCAGACAGGAAGCAAGGAAAGGTCGGCATCATAAAGCTTTGCATCTTCTGCCCAGACAAACCAGAGCTCAGAAGTGAAGCCCCGGGACGCCGGGAAGGCGCTGCACACCCGGAGACACGCGCTCCGCATGGCAAACCCCTGCCTCGGCTGGGCTGTGACGGCCTAAGTAGGGCGCCGGCCTAGTCAGGCCCTGGCCCAGCCGAGCACTGCACGTGAGATACACAAATGAACCCTGCGCCGCGGACTTCGGGCACAGCCGGGGTCCACCGGTCTGGGTTCCAGCGAAGGCCCTGCCACTCGCTAGCTGAACCATCTGGAGCAAATTATTCAGCCCGCGGGGACCTCGGTTTCCTCCTTGGTAGAATGGAAGAGATCTTCACCTGGAGAAGAGGTGGTTAAGAAGGAAATGAGATTATTCGTGTAGAAGCAGGTGTGGTGGGCTCTCCCTGGTCACCCCAGCACGTGGGAGGCTGAGGCAGGAAGACTGTCCGCTGGAGGCCGGCCCGGGCTACATAGTATGATCCTGTCTCAAACGTAAAATTAAAAAAAAAAATTATGTACAGTCCTTAAAAACGTATCTAGGAAGGCCAGGGATTTAGCTTAGTGGTTCCACTGGCTGCCTTGCAAGCACAAGAACCTGAGTTTGATCCCCGGTGCAAAAACAAAACTAAAACGTATCTAGGAGCAAGAAAAGGAGCATTATAAATTAGTATGAGGACACTTTGGGGAGAGAGATGTTGATTATTTTATTTCATACATACCTCAGAATTCCCCAGTAACGTACTTTAAATCTGCGTAATTAACTGAGCACCAAGTTTACCCTAAGAAAGCTGTTTGGGGGCGGGGCGGGGGTAGCGAAGCGGTACAGCCCGGGCTCCGGGTCCTGGGTTCTAGCCCCGCATTGCACACCGAGAGAAGACGCAGTCTTAGTGTCGCGTTCAATAAATGTCAGCTCCTAGCGTGAGAGGAGATGCGGGTCCCTTCCCTCTACAAGTTAAAACCTCCAGTCCCGCGAGGGCCGGGGGAGGCTGCAGGGCGCCCTTACCCGGCGAGGCAGCGACACCTGCTGCTCACAGGGGAAAGTACAGCGGGTGCTTCGTGCCTTTCTGAAGTTTTTTTGTTTGGTTTTAGCATTTACTTTGCAATAGACGACGCTGCCGTGTAAAAATTAAAGTGTGCAGAAAAGACACCTTTCACATCTCTTCTCTCCATTCCGTCCTCGATAGTAATCGATACTGTTGTTTCAGTTGAACGCTAACTCCCTGATAATGCTACCCCAAGTCCCGGGGGCAGGGAAAGGCGCCACTGGCTTGGAAGTGTTTGGGGGGGAGCAACACGCGAGTGCGCGTGTACCGCATGAAAGCGCTCCCCGACAGAGCTCCAATTCCCAGCCGCCCCCACACCTCGGCCCTTTAATTTCTGAGTCAGGTTCTGGTTAAACTGCCCAGGCTGCCCTTCAGCAAGCCACCTCCTGCCTCAGCCTCCTGAGTAGCTGGTGTCAGAGGTGTGCTGACTCACTGGCTAACGTGAATTATGGATGAAATTTGGGGGTTTGGTTCAAAGCGGGTCTTCCAGCGTAGACCTTTAAATTCGGGTAGGAAGAATGAAGATAGTGGTTTCAAAGAGCCTTCAGGGAGTAAATCATCATTTGATAGCTATCAAAAGCTAAGAATGGATTCTCTGGCCCCACACAGAGGTGCACTTCTGTAATCCCAGCACCCAGGAGGCTGAGGCAGGAGAATTGTGAGTTCAAGTCCAGCCTGGGCCATTTAGGAATATTCTAAAAGTTAAAAAGGGCTGGGAGTGCAGCTCAGTGGTAGGGCACTTGTATAGCCCATCCCAGGCCTGGGTCCAGATCTTTTACCCTTTCACTGCTTCGGAAAGTCTCAGCTTTCAAACGTGCCATTTTAAACCCCGAGAGAGAAGGGGAGGGAAGTCAGGTGCTGCTCTTCGCTCCTTTTTCAAGCTTTGCCAATGAAAGTTTCCCCTCTCCATGGTGCTATATGGGTGTCAGCCCACGTGTAGACACCTACCCCCAACACAGCCAAAACAAAGGACTTACAGGATTGGTGTCAGTATAAAAATGTAAATGTAATGACTGGATGATAAAACCTTCCATAAATCACATGGTTTCCACTCTCTCTTTGTCGAAATAGGACCTAACTGGGTTAACAGCTGAATGATGGGTTCACACACTTTTTCATGACGGAACCTGTGCACCCTCTGGCCTACAGCACGGAGGGAGTTCAAAGAAACCGACCCGTATCGCCGCGTGAGCTGTACTTCTCTGACTTTCATTTGCACGTGTCTTATGCCAGGCACTGAAATCTTTAATTTTATGAGACGATGCCTGCCTCGCCGTAAGATGCAGAGAGCGGTGCTGTACTGCGTGCGAAGACTTGGCACTACCTGATTACACAATTTTAGCTAATTGGGAAGAGAGGTGAAGTATTTCATGAGGTGCTTGTTGTTTTCACTTTGTTTTTGTGGTACTGGGGTCAAATCCAGTGCTCAGCTCATTAAGTTTTTATGCGCATTTCTCACTAGGTCGCGGATGAGGTCCAGGGATTGTGTATTGTGTGTCTCGTTGCCTTTGATCGTCTTTCTTTTGAGTTCTCTGCTATTTTTCTTTCTTTGATACTGGGGATGGAACTCAGGTCTTTGCACTTGAGGGGCAGGCGGCGGCACCACTGAGCTATATCCCCAGCCCCTATTTTCCTTTTTTATTTCTAGGCATCCTTTATATATTCTGGATATGAACTCTGGGGTTACATGTACAAATAAATACAAGTATCTTCTCCCACTTTGTGACTGCTTTCGGAAGTCATTTTATAAAATACTTAAGCGCATGACCCAGTGGGTTTTAGCATATTCGCAGATCTTCACAATCATCACGACATCCCCACGCCTACCAGAGGAGCCACCTTGGTCAGCAGCCCGCCCTGTCTCTGCCCGGCAGCTGGACGCATCCTGGAACAGGTCCTGCTCACGTTGAGGCCGCGTGTCAGCGCGTGTCCATTTCGTTGTACCATGGGGACTGCCACATTGTTTACCCAGTCATTAGTTGATGAGCCCCAGTGTCGCCACACTTTTCAGCCATTATAAACAATGCTGCTCTGAACTTGTCGGGTTGGGCATCTGTATTCCTTTGGGAATATGCTGGAAATGCAATTGCTGGGTCATACAGCGCTAACCTCCTGAGGAACTCAAAATGTTTGCCATGGTGCCTGTAGCACAGTCCTACCAGCCCGGATTGAACATTCTGATTTTTCCACATCCCCACTGACTCTGAGGAGTGTTGTCTTCTGATTGTAGCCATCCTAATGGATGTGAAGTAATAACTCATTGTGGTCTTTTAAAAAAAATTGGGAGGGTGATGAGACAGTCTCACTGTGGTTCAGGCTGGCCTCGAAATGAGTAGATCCTCCTGCTTCAGCCTCCCAAGTGTCGGGATTACAAGTGTGCACCATCACATTCCTCCTTCACTGTGGTTTTGATGTGAACTTGTGGTATTCCTTTTAATACTGTCTTAATAAACAAATTATCTTTGTTTTAATGTCTGAGGTATCAATCTTTTTCTTTGTTAGTACATTTCATTACTACTTAAGAACCCCTTCCTTACTCATGAAAACAGTTCCCTGTTCACTTTCAGAAGTTTTACCAACAGACTGGTCCTTTTAGATCTGCAGCACACCAAGAACGGAAGACCCAGTCACTTCACCCACTCCCGCACACCACGCTTTCTTCACTGCATGGTGACAGGGCTGATGTGAGTCAAGTGTGCGCATGTGTGTTCACATGTCTGGTTTTTCTCACTAGGCGCCATCAAATCCAGGGACCACTGAGAGATGGCCCCAGCCCTTGTTTAAATTTTATTTTGAGCCAGAGTCTCACTGTGTTTGCCAGGCTGGCCTTGAACTTGCAATCTTCCTGTCTCAGCCACCCAAGTAGCTGCAGTTACAGGGAAGGTCCGTGACACTCAGATTTTTAATTTTTTTGTTTTTGTTTTTTCTTTTCAGTGCTACAGTTTGAACTCAGGGCCCTGGGCAATTAGGCAAGCACTTGCTCGAGCGCTGAGCTACATCCCCAGTGCTGTTTCTGAGCGCTCTCTCCGTTGTTCCGTCCCTGTACAGATACTATAGCATTGTCTTTAGTTTTGATATCTGTAGAGGCAAGTGTTTCACTTTGCCCAGCGTCTTTAAAGGTGGTTTAAAGATGAAAGGGGTTTGTTTCTGGCCTGAATCCTCACTGTTGTTGCTTACCAACCAGTCTGGCCGGAGGCTCTGTCCGCGGGCTCTGGGGGAACAGGAGCCGGCCACACCGGAAGAAACCACTGGGCCCGGGGACCCTTGCCTGGCCTGTGCAGAGGCCCCGGGCTTGAGGCCTAAAGCCAGACGCCCAGCGAGTCAGCTGACACATAAGCAAGCTACAAAGCTGCCCGGAAGCCTTGCCTTCCGCCAGATGAAGTGGGGGTGGGGTGGGGGGAGGTGCCATTTACCACCTGGGCGGGAGAAAAGATGCAGAGTTTATGAACTGTCCTAATAAGAGCCCAAATCTACTCTTTTTTTTTTTTTAATCACTTCTATATTTGGTAAGATAGATGTCTCTCCGAGGTGGAGCTCAGCAGGAAAGCACCGACTTGGCCCACCTGCGGCCCTGTGTTCAATCCCCAGCACGGCCAAACCGTCTGATGTGTATTTTGTTCCTCGTATCCATTGATGATGATAAATATTTGCTTCTTCTTCCTCCCACGTGGAGTATAGACTCCCTCCAGAGAGAGACGATCCCACCTCCTATCCAGGTGCGCAATGGAAGGATGGAACTGAAGTCCAGCGTCCCGGGGTTGTGATAACTTCCCTCGGGTGGTGACAGCAGAGTAGAAGGGAGGAGGCACCCGCTTCCCTCTGCCCCACCAACTTACAATGGCAGACAGAGTAGGCCCAGGGAAGCAAACACGAAGTACTCAGTGAAATTCTAGACAAACGATCAGTGGGCCTCTTGCCCAGGAATGAGGAAAATCCTACCTGGATCCTAACTGGCTCCCCCGGAAGGGCTCACAGTTCCTGTTCTCTGCCCTGTGATACTGGGGATGGAACCCAGGACCTTGGCACCGAGCTATGTCCCCAGCTCTTTTTAGGTTTTTTATTTTGAGACAGGGTCTCGCTAAGTCACGAAGTGGCCCAGGCCGTGCATGCAGGGATTACAGGCAGGCAGGCCATGCCCAGCAGTTCGTGTTCCCTCCGACGGTGGCTGCATCTCTGCTAGAGCTTTCTTGGCTGTATCTGAAGAGGACTGCAAAGCAGGAACGAAAGCCCAAAGGAGTGTTTAGGTCTGGCAGCTTTTATGCCCTTTGGACAACGGGCATCCAACTTGGGAGAAGGAGCAGGACAAAGGGCAGGGTCTGGGCCGAAGCAGAGGGTAAACACTAAGCAGGAGGGCTGCGTGGTGAGGCTGCTCCTGCTGACCCTTCTTGGCTACCTCTGTCTCGGGGAACGAGGGTTCTGGGAAGTCACCTGACTCAGGACGTCCACCCAGTCCTCAGGCTGCCGGGCAGGGGTGAGCTGGCCCTCTGGTGGCTTTTGCTCCGTTACCTTCAGCTCTCAAGAACCCCCGAGCAGAGGGGCACATCGTAGGGCCCTGAGCTGCTCAACACATCTGAAGCTGGCTCAGAGCCTGCAGAAGACGAAGTGCCCAGCAGTCATTTCTGTTTCACTTAGTCAGAGATTTCTTAATTTGAACAGTTTGCAAACGCAGCCAGTCACTGGTCTGTTCTGCTCTTCTCCGTTCCAGGTGTCGGTACGCACACCTTTAAGAACCTCTGTCAAGACGTCCCTCCTCCAGGATTTAATTGTGGGCACTTTTGGCTCATTAAGCTTTGGTGAAAGAGCTACACTGTAAGCCACTGTGTCTAACTGAGAGGATTTGTTGAGAAATACATTAATCCACTCTGAGGTTATAACAAGCAATGTAATTACCATAGCTTTGATTTGATCTTTGCCACAAGGCTGAGGTCTTAAGTTCTTTCTCAAATGCTTCTTTATGTAGCTGCCTCTTCTGATCCCACAAGTCTCCACCTTTCTGGATTCGACTCCCTTGTGTTCCTGACTAAAACTGGCCAGTTCTTTGCTGAGCTCATCTCTCTCTTGTTAAGTCCTGTCAAATGCAGTCCAGTGCCTCAGTCAACACAAGAAACTTTTACCATCTTTTCCAACTTTTTCCAGAGCTTTGAGATCACCAGGCACATTAACTGCTTGTAAGTTACAAGAAACAAAAATAGTATTCTTCCCAACTTTTCAGTCTCCAGGAGGTTTTTACATCACTTGCTAAGTGGTTCTTTGGAAAGTTTATTTCTTTCTCAATTTCATTATGGGTATTCTAAGCCTATTAAGCTTTAGTGGAAGGGCTGTCGTCTAAGCCATTTTATGAAAAGATTCACTGGGCATTTAATGAGAGAAGGATTGGTTAGTTTAGAATTGTTTGTTGAAATCATTTAAATAAACTCTTTAGGGTGAGCTGGGTGTCTTGGCACATTTGGGTGGCTGAGGCAGGAGGATTGATGGGAGGCAGCCCCAGGCTACATGTTGAGTTCAAGGTCAGCCTGAACCACACAGCAAGACCCTGTCTCAAACAAACTTACAAACAAACGAGCAGGTTAGTGTGTTAGATTTCTGTCAATGTGACAAAGTACCCGAGAAAAGCAACTTCAAAGGAGTATTACTCAGCTCATGGTTTCAGAGGTCTCGGTCCATGTTTAGTTGGCTGTGTTGTTATAGGCCTATAACGAGGCACAACACCACGGCAAGTGAGTGTGGCTGAACAAAACTGCTCACCTCACGGCAGCTGGGGTCTCAGCGTCCCGCCAAGGTCTGGCCACAGTGACCCGACTTCTTCCCGAGACCTCACCTCTCAGTGGCACCACAAGCTGGTGACTGGGCTTTAGCACATGAAGCTTTGTGGGACACTGAAGAGCCAGCCCATACCTCACTGTGTTTAAGTAAAAGATTTCAGTTCTCACACTATGTCTCAGAGGCCTGGGTTGGGGCTGGGGTCCGTATCGTCTTCATCACCGACAAGCAGGGCGCTGAACAGGCTCCACGGAATATTGGAGAAGAAAGAGAAAGCCAGGTCAAGAGTGATCTTCAGGCTTCTGCCCAGAAGCGACGTCGGAAACAGCCGTGCAGAGCGGACACACAGCAGCGTACATGTTACATTCGTTGTGAAATGATGAGTTCTACCAGTGGTTCACACGGCAGGCAGAGAACGGCAGAGCTTTTGTACCAGCAGCTTCAGGAGCCGACAGCCTCAGAAACCCCTCGACTGTTCTGGGCCCGGAGACCCAGAGCAAGAAAAGCCCCGCCTGGGGCATGCACTGCTTGTTCACTGTGGCTCCCGTGTGGATCTGGCTCCTCTCAAAGGCCTTAAAGGAAGGTTAGATTGGAGGGCAGCCTCTGAGTGCAGGTTTATTAACAAACTACAGCAGAGACTCTAATGACAACTTGTCAGGATCAGTGTGAAAATCAAACAGATAAAAAGTAAAAATCAAGCTGGGCGTGGGGCATGGCGGCACATGCCTATGATAACAGCACTCTGGGAGGCTGAGGCAGGAGGATCTCAAGATTGGGCCCAGCTTGGGCAACTTCGTAACTTGGTAAGACCTTGTCAAAATAAAAAATAATAAAATA